CTCATTATTTATCACCCATAATATCTCTATAGTAATAAGCTAATATGTAACTGCAAAACTGTTGCGACACTCTTGACCAATGCCAATATGAGTCTTGGTATCGCATTTGGGCAACAAAATAACTGATTTAAACATTGGTATTTTCCATAGTTGATGAAATATGTAAACTGAGCTTTATAAATTCTTTGTTTTTCCCATATTTATCCCGTTTATAATAAAATCTGGACAATTCCAGTTTCGGGGACATTTAGTCTGCAAACAGTTATCAATATGAGATGGAGTCTGGTTTAAACAAACAAGGAGAAAATACATCTTTAATTTTTATAATAATATTGTGTTTTAAATGAAACTTATTATCCAAAGTTTGGTAATTCAGTTCGTGGACTATCTGTTCTGAAACTGCCTGACCAACACGCACAGACATAGAGTCAGGTAGAAATCGCAGGTACTCCGCACAACCTACCAATAGCCATAATTTATAGTTCCTCGTAGTTGACCCTCTGTCAAATAACTTTCTTTTATTGCCCAGTTCCAGGGGAACTACTTAACGTCCCCAAGCCGCCTGGGTCCTAACATTATAAACAGTCTTGGCTGCGATAGCTGTTTCAGAACTTTCTCTGTTCCTATTGTTTTAGGCCATAACTTTATAGTTAGACCTTAACAATATGGATAACACTCTTTTTTTTTTTACAAATCTTTTTTGTTTAAGAACATTCTAGCAACAACTTGTCGGTGTTGATTGAGTTACAAGCTTCACGACCTATCAAAATCCATATATTTTTATATAATTTAAAATAAATATAAACTTAATAATAATAAAAGGCTTACCGAACCCGAAGGTTCGATGCCGACACCACCAATCGCTTATTACACACCTCCCTCCACCGTTCGCCGTCCAAACCCAGTCCCTTCAGATCGGCTTTAATGCAATCTTCCCACCTTCGCTTCGGTCTACCCCTCGGACGCTTACCATTCGGCACAGCAAATATTAACCTTTTAGGAATTCTCTCGTGACTAAGCCCAACAACTTTACAAGCCCATTTGATTCGCCGCGATGAAATTACCTCAATTATATTACCCGGATACAGTTAACGCAATTCGGCGTTGTGCAACCGTCTGAACTCTCCGGTTAACTCATCCTTCTTCAGTCAGTCGAATATTCTACGCAATACTTTATTTTCAAAAACCTTAAGACGCTGCTCATCCCTTAATGTAAGCGGCCAAGTTTCCCATCCATAAAGAACTGTAGGCAAGATAATTGTTTTATAGATTCTAATTTCTAAGTTCCGGGACAAGAGGCGCGAACTGAGTAGTTTTGACACAGAAAAATAACAAGCATTTCCCGCCTTCAGTCTAACCTTAATCTCTTCTTCCATTTCGTAAATATAAACTTAAAAAATGAAATATAAAAGATATAAGTTATAGAAGGATTGAAGGAAGTTAGTCGATTGTTCTACATATCATGGGTGATAAATATTCAGGAGGCAGTCTTTTAAAAAAAAAAAAAAATTATTTTTTTATTTACGCCTATAAGTTATATTGATCTGCCTATTAATTTCATATTGTTATTAATCCGATTTCATGTCTTTTCTCTCTCAATATTCAAACTGAATTGATTAATTGCATAGTTCCAAAATAAGCAACACTAATAACTTGTTTTGACTTTAACTTAATAAATATTCAGGACGCAGTTTTTTTTTTAATTTTTTATTTTTGAAAACGTTTCAACCCAAACATGTGGGTAATCTTCAGTGATTGAACATACTCAGTGCTCAAACCACGCCCTGAAGATGACTCACATGTTTGGTTTGAAACGTTGGCAAAAATAAAAAAAATTAAAAAAAGACTGCGTCCTGAATATTTATCACCCAAGTTATTTTTATTTTTTATTTAAAAAAAAACAATATTTATAAAAAAAAAGTATTGAAGGAAGTTAGTTAGTTAGTTTAGTTGTTCTACATATCATGGGTGATAAATATTCAGGAGGCAGTCTTTGTAACAATTTTTTTTATTAAAAAGACTGCGTCCTGAATATTCATCACCTATGAAAAAAAGTAAAAACTAAAAAATAACTTATATTTCAAAATATATATAAACATATGAACATACATACGAAATTAAAAAGACAAGAACTTACTAGACGAAATAGCTAACTTTCACATCTTCTGGACTACAGATCTTCACTTAACTTACGAAACAAGCGACTGATCTGCAACACCTTGCTGAGACCAATATGGACATATGGAGCAGAACTTTGGAGTTCTGCAAAACAAACACACATAAACAAAATACAAACAGCACAATAAAAAATTTTACGAAAAATTGTTAACGCACCTTGATACATTTCAAATACTACTATACATAACGACTTCAACACCCCAACAGCAAAATCCTACATCCACGACAAATACACTACATTTCCTCCTTCAACCCGAAATCACTCCAATCCTCTGGTTCTTTCTATCTCCTGCTCCCTGTTACCTGAACAACGAGGATTATTAAGAAAATGGCCAAGAGACCTACTACATAAATAAAAACCAAATAAAAAAAAAACACCAAGACTGTACAAAGACAACAAATTTGCTAGATGCGCAGGTGCAAATTGCATAAAATACAAATAAATAAAAAATATTTCAAAAACTATAAAAATGTTTAAAGAACATTTTTGAAACGTTTCTTGTTAGAACTTTTTGATTAAACCTTCAATTTAAAAGGTTTTTACTAATACTTATACAACAGAACTTAATTAATGTAAACGTTGTTTGGAGAATTTTATTGTCAGGTTTTTTTATAATTAAAAAAAGAACTTGGTGTAGTCTCACATTTCCAAAACACCACAAAACATAAACTGATAAAAACAAGGAATACAAGTTTACAAGCTTCTGTATACTTTGCTAAACGAGATCATTCTGTTGACTGAATTATGATCATACCAATAAAAAACAGAAACAAGTATCTTTTACTAAACCTGAATATAAATTCTGTCTGGAGATGTGTCCCACATTGGGCTCAGTTTTTGTTTCTCTCAGCATTGATTCAAACGATTTATGAAAAATAGGTTTTATAAAAAAATAAAATAAAAAAATCTGGTAAGTGTTTCTTAGCCTTCGATATTAAGTGATATATTAGCAATTTGGTTTATCTGTAAAATAATCCTCTTCGAGTTTATTCCTATAATTCAATAGTTGACCATTTCAAAAAGTGAAAAATAAAACTAACAAAGGAATATATTTTTCCTATAGACTACTCGAAAGCAGGAAGGAGAGGTACCATTGAGAAGTTATATTGATGTAAAACATTTTTTGTCGATCCGTTTACCTGCCTTGCCCGAAATGAGCTTAAGCTGTGCTCTCAACCGAACGGAATTACATGCGTCATTAGCTGTGTTGATACCTATCCGGATATCTCATCTGTCTGGTCCTAGGGATATCCATTTCAATAACGGTTCTATATATCTATATACATCTAAATTTTCTCGGTTCTTCCAACTATCGAATTTACCACACTGAAATTCAACTTTATTAGTCAGAAAGCCCGTGGCAGAAAATGTGTCTTATTTCATACTAAGGTTTGTCCTTATAAATTGACTATGCCCACAGGCCTGATAAAAATGAAAGTCTACCAGCATATAGCCGCTGGAATACAAAATGGCGGCCATGTGAAGATAGATTGAGACTCTATATATGTAGAAAACTTATATAGAGTGGGCTTATAGTTATAGAAAGCCGCCAACCATTTTAATTTATAGAATTTACTGTCTTAAGACATGAAATAATGGCCAGTTATCCCATAACCGTGGATTTCGATTCGAAAATTTGAATTTTCACTTTTTTCGGCTTATCGCTTATATCAGTGAAAATATTCAAGCAATAATCACGTGTGAAAAATTAAAGCTGACATAAATTGCCGCAGAAATGGATATATATATATATAAATTTCTTTGCTATTTTCTATATTTTTCTAGATATCCGTCCTCGTAATTCACTAACTTAATTGTAATTTACTAACTTAATTGTAAAAAATTGTATAATCTTTATAAAGCATATAACGTATTATATTAATAAATTGCATGATTATTATATAATTTACGTAACGGTTTTTATATAGAAGGTAATATAAATCTGATTGAGTAGACTATGTTGCCTCTCTCTCTCTTCAAGACTTTTTGTATATATGTAAATATTTGGTTATTATATTGAATGGTATATGAAAAATGACTCGTCATAAATGTACGGCATTTAGCAGAATATAACCAACCAGTTTTACTCGTTTTGAGTAAATTCAAGTTTGAGTTGGCCTCGGAAATCTGGAGTATTATTTCACGTTATGTCGCTAACTTCTATATTTTATAGGACACAAAACATTGCTATTATATTCAGTGCCGGCCCAGGGTAATGACGTAATCTTCTAAAATATAAATAAAATTGTTTCTTTATTTTATATGAAATAATATTTGAATTTTATTTAATTCAACGTGTTTCTTATTCAGTTGCTATATTAATTAAGTAATTAATAATTATTCTAATACATTTTTTTTTCTCCATCTATAGTGCTACCTCCGGGTTGTCCTCCCCTAATTTTTTTTTTTTTTTTGCTGATATAAAAAATCTTGCCAATATTTTTCTCAAATCTCAATTTTTATTTAAAGATTGCTACTCTAAGAAATTGTTCTTTTTTCTTTATGAAAACCGTACTCATTCGAAACGAGTTGTAACTCATTTTTGTACATTTTGTGAACGGGCTTCATTCTACTGATGTAAATGCCGTTCAAATAATAGGCTCAAAGAAATTACAAAATTCAGTTCTCTAATATTATTAAGGAAGGAATGTACTGTTATTGGGAAAAATTTTCAATTTTCAGTTTTCAATGCATATTTTTCTTTTCTTGTTCTTTGTTCCTTTACACTAGTGGAATCAAAAGGAGATGGTCTTTGGGTCCCATCGAAAAAGTTTTGCTCATTTTTTGTTGGGAATGAATAAAACTGAGCCGTCAGCCTCGGATGTGTAACGCTCATTCGTGTAAAGCCGGCTCGAATCGACTAATTGAAGTGTTTTTGCTCATAGATTAAAATATCTCAGAAACTAAAATTCTCATACTTGCGTATCGTAAGCGAGGGAAATGTTCGGCATTCCAACACAAAGAGGATGAGCTTTTGTTCAAAATTGTTATACACAACTGTAATCATATAAATTTTTACGGGATATACTGGTTCGATTCCGATGATTTTTTTTTTCTGCTTTGTTGGTAATTTAATTACCTTTCAAAAGTAATATCATAAATTTCACCATGGAATATACACTTAGGGCCCAAAACATTTTTCTTTTTTTTACAACTTTTTTCCCTGAATTTTCTCGGAAATTTTTTAATTCGTATAAGAAAATTGAAAGGACAATTATTAGAACATTATAGGAAAGTTTCATAAAAATCGTTATAGCCGTTTTTGCGCTACAGTCTATAGAAAAACATATTCTTCATTTATTGCGCAGTAGCTATTGCGCATAGAGCACCCAATTTATTTCACAGGCATCAGTAGTCAAAATCCTACAAAATAAAAAAAAAATAGCAACAAAATCGGTTCATTAACTCCCGAGAAAATCTTGGCACAAACAGACAGACCAATGGCTAGAAATGTGTTTTCGGACTCAAGGGCTCTGAAACGTATAGATCCGTCAGTTACCAAATGGACTTAATCCGTAACAAATAATAATAATAATAATATTAATTTAACTTTTATTTTGTTAAATATCCTAATTGGTGAATCATGTATTATCTTCTAGTTTCTCACATAAAAGCTCAAAACCCTAGATAGCCAGGTGAAGCATTCTCTGATAGCTTAGAAATAGTTATCTATAATGTACTGACTGGACAGAAGACACTTATCAAGACTTAAGGAACAATAACCCTTTTCAGCAAAAGGTCGCTGTCTCACAGACTTCATATCAATTCTAAAAGATAAGGATATCAATTCTTAATAGTTATAACTTCATTCACACGCTTTCTAGACCGTCCAGAATTGATTCACCCCCCTATTATTCCTGAGTATATAAACCCCTTGATCCTCTGGACTAATCACTCATGCAGTTACATTCTTGAAGTCACACTCTTCACTGTAGGAGACCTCGAGTGAACTCATGTAGTCAACCCATTATCCATAGTATATTACTCTGTATTTTAAGATGCCATTTGTAACGGACATAATGAATAAAAGCATTACTTATAAAGTCTTCACTGCCTCCGATTCGTTAACTGTCGAATACCGCATATAGGAAATTTTAGCCGATCGCAATACTTTCCTATTATAGGTAGGAAAGTAAAACCGAGCATTAGCCCTCTAAATTAATTTTGTTGATAATTATTATAAATACATTTTTTTTTCGTAAGTAAAACTCTTCATTAATCTATTTTGAGTTGAGTTTCGTTGTTATAAATTATGTAAAAAAATTTCTTAAATTTATTCTTAATATATGTCCATACTTAATTTGAACCTTATTGCAGTAACTAACTGTTTGCTTATTGTGTCTTCTTTTACTTTCAGGTTCACATCCGATCCCACTTCATCATGAATGGAGTCTGCGTCAGGTGGCGGGGTTGGATCGATCTGGAGAGACTAGACGGGGTAGGCTGCTTGGAGTTCGACGAGGAGAAAGCCATGGTGAGTGACGTTTAGCTATTTAAGAGAGTAGCCACGGCATCACAGCATGTCCATAGCTAACTGTTTTGTATTTGTCGACTCTTCAGGTGGAGGACGCAATGCTGAGGGACCAGATCGAGAGGTACAACCAGAGGCTACGCGAGTTCGAAGAGAAGCAAAGAGCCTACCGCGGGCAACCTCAGGACCACGACTTGGAGGTGAGCACGCCTTTGTATCAAACTAACCTTAGTTGAGGAAGGATAATTAACATAGAACGGAATCGAAAGATTCCGAATAGAAAGCTTAGGGTCTAAAAAAAAAATGGCAACAAACAATTGACCAATCATTATTTAGCCAATGTTTTGCTTTAGCAATCACTTCTCTACACACTCTTCTTCATCTTCGTTCAACAATTCTTCACATGATGACACATTGACCTCTTCAGTTTTAAACTCCTCCTCTCTACCCCTGATGAAGACCTACAAAGTGGGTCAAAAAAGTCGACAAAAAAATTAAATAATACTATTTGTATAATTTAATATTTATTTGACCGCACTCCCCGATCAACTCCTTCTCATATCATATCACGGCCAACCATCTCTAAATCATTAGAAATAAAATAAAGATAATAGATGTTTAAGTCATGGCGAACCCTCGACAATTCCGATTCCATAACCTCCGGCCTAGTATATGTGATGAGGATACCAGTGAGGAAGATGTGAGGAGATGAAGGTGGCCTAGCAATAAAGATGATATAGTCTAGCTAGAGCTGATCTCCAGGTCTATGCTTGGAGCACGTCGGACTACCGTTCCTCTAAGCCTGCCTTCTGTTAGGTCCTATCTTCCTCAACATTCAATAGTCCAGGTGTTACATGAAACCGTTTGCTACGCCATCAAACGGCATTTTGTTCAAACTCATTCATATTTCTTTGCGAGAGTCAGAGTGAGAGAGAGAGTGCGTTCTATGGTCTAGAACAATTACATGTATAGTGTTAAAAAAAACTATGAATAAATCCGTAAATCCATCCTAGTAGCATCCTTAAAAACAGCTCTATTTTTAAATTTGTCGTACAGTAGCTTCAGTTATTTTTCTATGTGGTCTAAGTACCTATAATATATTAGCTATTTTCTCTACCAGCTGTTCTAGATAAGACAACATATAATTGTCCTTCAGAAAAAAATTATTTTTCTTCTCTTAAGTTGCCTCCAATATGCTTAAAATATCGATGTGTCAATATGGTTTATTTATAATGGTTACCAAAGAAACCTCAATGGGAAGCTGTCATAGTGTAATAGTTTCTGTATTCCTCTTCTAGTTCTGTGCCGTTGTCATGAAAAGAGGCTTCTAAGCTGCATTAAGTGGTGTTAGAGGGTTCTTTTTTCTTTCTCAAAATTCAAGTTTTTTGATCTCGGCCGTCTCCCGGATAAAAAAAAATCGGATAAGTTTTTTATCGAAGTTCTTCTGGTCTCAAATTGTATGAAAGTTAATCTAGTATAAAAAATTTTCTCGATTGCAATACTTACTCTTACTATTTATTACATATATATACGTAAGTGAAAGTAAAAATATTTTAAAATTGCGATATCTTTACTAATAACGCTTTGATCTCGATGAAACTTCTTTTATTTTTTAGGAAAATTAAATATCTTTGAAACATCTTAACACAATATCCACAAAAAAGTGTATACTTTTTGATTTATTCGTAAATTAATTTTACCTTCCCTCGTAACTTTTTTTCAAGTTTCTTTTCGTTGAGTATGTTATACAGATAAATTTAAAGTGTGTCGAGAAAATTACATTAGCGAACTTTCATTGAAATCGGTACATTCGTTTAGGCGCTACAGTCAATACAGGTTTTCCTCCATTATTATTTTTTCTCCTTTATTAACTTATCAAATTCTTTCAAAAGTTATATTTAGCATTTTTTCTTAACTCTGAGGAATGTGAAATGATTAACATTTTAAAATAAACCATATTAAAGGTACTTTAGAGGAAGACGTATTTGAACATTGTGCATTTAAGCTCTGTAAAGTGACATCAGTGGGGATAAGACCTAAATGATATTAAATACCACTTAATTACGCTAAGTTTAATCAAAATCGTTAGAGCCGTTTTTGAGAAAATTATGAAAATGTGTTTTTCAGCGTTAATATAAAGTGGCACTTCCGGTTAGCCGATTTTAAGGAAAAATTTGCTGTCACATCTAAGGCATATATCTATCTTAAATACGTAATATCAGTTTCGTACGACTTTTCGTTTTCAAGCTAGATTCACATACACACAGACCATTTTTCGGTACTGGTCATTTCGCGACTCAGGGTACCTCAAAACGTGCATTTCCGTTGAAAACTCAGAATCGAAAATTTTCTCGATCGGAATACTTACCCTTACTATACATTACATATATACATAAATGAAAGTAAAAAATGTGTAGAATGTTTTTGTTGAAAACAAACTCATTTATGTTGAAAATGGAGAAAAACTGAAAAAGTTATATAATATATAACATATAACAGTTTTGTGGATATTTAAGAGTAATCCAGAGGGTCGTCAAGGACGAAAATTCGGATTTTGTATCTTTAGTCACATCTCATACCCCATAAAAGAACAAAATCTCCTACCCCTACTTTATACAACTTAGGATGCACAATGTTATTGGACTATTCGTTTGAGACTTATGGTTACTGCTTCGTTCGTGATGTTATAAAGGCTATAGCAATCTCAATTGATAGCCTATCTAACGAAATTGCATAGACTAGCTGTCATATTAGGGGTCTTCAGGAAACCTAAGTGCTAAGTATTGTAAACCAACTAAATGTGTAAGTCGAGAAAAATATTTACAAAATGTGTGTTAAATGTGGCAGCTTGCGCGCACGGAGAAGATTATAGTAAGGTTTTGATATGTTTGATTCTTTGTTCTTTGTTTGTGAACAGTATCAACTGAAATATAATGTTAAGATAGTTAGCTAGGATTCATCAAGTTCTATGCCTTCTGAATCATCTGAATCTTCATTCATGCTTTCTAATAAAGCATTTTTATCCAAATAATCCTGCAACTCAGTGTTTTCACTTCATTTTGGCATTTTAAAAATAAAAACGTTAGTAGAACAATTAAGAACTAACAAACTTTGTTTACAGTTATGACCAAAAAAAAGAATGAATAAAAGTTAATAAAATAAGTTTTAATAAATATAATTTTCCATAGGATTTTTATTTGTTGATCGCCTGGTTTTACCAGCCTTTCATCTCTAAAGAGATAAATCTAGAAAATATAAGATACTTACTCCTTATTTGGCCATCATTAAATATTTATACTACCATGCTCAGGTGAGAAGGGGTTAGGTTGGATATTTTTATAAAGTAGCAAAAAAAGGTTAACAAACCTATTTACAGAAAGAAATATTTTCAGAATTAATTCTATGTACAATAAAAAGAAATAAAATACAAGGAAAAAGGAATTTAAACATAATTACTATATACAATTAAATATAAATAGGAAGATATTTAAGATAATAAAAATAACAAAAAAAGATACTTATTCTATATACAATATTATGGCATGTAAACATCTAAACATCAAGAAAAGATAGTCAAGATACAAGAGAAATAAGATGTAAGAGCACATGCACATGCTAAAATATGAATTAATAATCAGGCACAGGATACAAAAGAAAGAAGAGTTTTTTTTTTTTCAATGCTTCCTTAATCTTGGTTACACCTTATATGCATTACCTTACTGTAACTAATGACACGTTAGCATAGACAGTTTATTTACCATTCATGCTACAACAAGTGCATGAATACCCCTATTATCATTATCATCCTGGAACTATATGATGCCTCGAGCATATCATAATGATGGAGTAATTCGTATATTTGTATTTGCACTTATAGAAATTAAGGTTCCATTTGCCTTAAGAAGTATGCCGTGGCATTATCCACTATCCATTAGCTTGTTGAAAAGATTGACTTCAAATTCACAGCTATTGACCGGGATCCTTGCTTTATATTGCCAGCCATCTTTATCGAAAAGAAGAAGGACGCCGATCGCTCAAGTGCTGTAAGCGATCCGGTCCATTAGCCGCAGCTGTACAGAGGAGGCGCCCACTTAAGAGATACGCGGACATGAACCTAGAGATGAGGACGATATGGATCGGGCGTTATAATGGGATGCCTTAGGATAGCAGAGGTATCTGTTACTACAGGTAACCGATCCCACCATTAGCACAGGTGCACAGGTGCTATTCTCACGGCTCTCTCTCAGGATCAGTAGCAAAAACACCAGGTATCCATATCGCCGTCCTCATTCCTGATTGCAGGTCTTAGCTATTCTAAAGATTCGCAGTTCCATTCCGAGTATATGGACTGGAAGTTATATACTTATACTGAATTATTTTCAATAATCTTATTCTCAAGACAATGTCTACTCAATTTGGTACTAAAAACTCACGAACACCCATTTCACAAAATTTATCACAAAATCAAGAAAAAAGGTGTCCTAGAAAAATATTGGACCGTTTTGGGTGACCTCCACCCCAACATGTCAAGGAAAATCGTTCCGGAGAGTAGAAAAAATCAAATACCTGAGCTCCACAATAACACCCATGAATGACCAACTGTCAGAAATTTACCAGGAAGTAACTAGCAAAAACAGAGCTGATAGTAATGCCGATATAGGAGAATCATCCTCGGGTGAACTCTGCCTTTAAATCCAAATTTGAAAAAAATCGGCCCAGTAGTCTCGGAGAAAATGAGTGAATGAATATTTAGACAAAAAATTATAAACAATGTGAATAAGCTTATTAAAATTATAAACAGTAAGTAAAGTTAAAATATGATCAGAGTAAGCTAAGTAACAAGATCCTAAACTGAAGTAAATAGATGGTAACAATTTTATATTTTATTTATTACATTACAACAATTGTTACCATCTATTTACTTCAGTTTATGATCTTGTTACTTAGCTTACTCTGTTCATATTTTAATGTACATACTGTTTATAATTTTAATAAGCTTATTCACATCGTTTATATTTTTTTGTCTAAATATTATGTAAGTTTCACAATTCTCTATAATTTTGTATCTTGTCCGTTCTAGCCCTGAAGAAAACCTGCAAAGTCGGGTCGAAACGTTGGCTTTTAATAAAATAGTTCTACCACTATTTAGCCTATTTATGACCGCCACCCCGGACCATCTCCTTCCTTTAAAATAACTATGAGTTGGCGTTCCGTTGTTGGTGGGTTTTTTAATTCAGGCATTAATCTCCCGCTCTCACCCCCTGGCCCAGGAAAACCCCGTATAAAAGCCTAAAAGGCAAGGTAGGATAGAAAAAAAAGATACTAAAGAGAAGAATAGTTGGGGTGGTCAGTCAAAAAAGAAGGCAAAAATAAATGATAATATTTATTTTTATATATACCGACGTTTCGACCTGAAGTTCAGGCCATCATCAGGGCTAAGAAAAGAACCACATTACAAGGTATGAGAAATATGAAAATTGCAGTAAAATGAAGTTGTTAGAATAATGACAATAGTAAGGACAAGAGACAAATAATAATAATAGGTACAAAGTGTGGAATGATGAAGTAAACATAGTCAAAAAAGGTGACATAAGTATTGTAAAGGGAATCTTAGAATAAAATGTAAAACAGAAAAATATGAAGTTATATAAGAAATGGAAATAAATAGTAAAATTAAGATATAGTGAATAGAATATTTAGATAGAAAATTGAGATGTTGTAAAGTCTATCAATTTGTACATACAAAGTATGAAATAATAAAGAGTTAAAACAGAGAAAAGGAATGAAAGGAAGGAGGAGAGAAACTGAGAAGGTTGAAATAAGAAAGAGAATAAGTAAGAGAAAAATGGTAACAACTATTCTTCTCTTCATTATCCACAACAGTCAACCATTTACCAATTATTAAAAAAAAAGATACAACGGACAGAATTTTTTTTTTATTTTATCGAATTCTACGTATCCTGAAACGTAAAACCTCTAATTTTGAGGATGGTTAGGTTTTTGAATTTTTTGGTCAATCAAAATGGTCCATTATCGAAAATAATAAACAAAAAAAAAAAGTTGGGTGAATGTGGTTTTGGGCGGGATTTCCTATGTTTCAATATTTTTTTTTTTTTTTTTTTTGTCGATATCTCATTACAGAACAACGTTTTAATACATGAATAATATGACGATATTGTTCCTTAACTGATTCGATTTATGTATACATACAGTGTGAAGCGCAAGGTGCTCTCTCCCTATGCAGATCCTGGCTCTAATTTTATTTATCGACGGATTAGAGGCAGTCCTCCCCCGCTAATGGGGTTCCCTTGTCCCTCCAACTCCCCTTGTTCCGTTATTTATACTCGGATAATTGGATGCCTAAGCCTTCTATAGTATGAGGGCGGGGGCCATCGCGGGGCCCCGTCAGCTATTTATTAAACAGCTCTGATTCCTATTGCGTCCTTGTTCCAGCGATTGGGTCTAGAATATGCTCAGGCCGATCTGTAATTGATCATGTAATTAATTATGTCATCAATCATGGTCTGTTTGACATTTTTATAAATATTTTAAAGTGGGTATGATCAATAAGGCACAGGCGGGGAACCTTCTTATCATTAGATGCCGCAGTAAGGATAGGGAGTGCTAATGGAGGCCGCAATAATTATTTATATTTTATTGCTGCTATTTTTATGTATCACTCAATATAGAAAGATAGATAGAAGATAGAAAAATATCTTTATTCTGGGACTAAGTCCCTTAAGGATAATAATATTGTTTAAACCAATTGACAATAAATCTGGCCAGATGACCTATTATAATAAAGAGTATCTAAAATTTAAGTAGTAAAATGTGTATATACATAGTTTTCGAGCGTATATTAAGGAAAGCAGATGGTACAATATTATAATATTGGTACAAAAAAACAAACAAACATACTAATAACTATTATATCAATGAAACTATGCGTTACATCTACAACAATATCATATGTGGAATTAAAGCTGACAAAATTTGCAATAGAAATGGTTATATTATATGGTTATATTTTATCACTATATTCTACAATTTCCGTAACATCCGTTCTCGTAATTCATTAATTTCGAAAATAAACTTGTTTGTATCAAATTTTTATCATTATTTGGTTCACCAAATCTTTATATCTTCATTTTACGAAAAAGTCATAAGAAAGAAAGTTTTTTAATATTAAATTATAATGCTACATAAGTCTTATATAGACAGCAGCCTAGATCTCACAGGTTCCCCAACCAATGCCATAAGGTATTAAATTTATACTAATATATGTTTTCACAGGGTGAGCCGGGGGACTTTATGAATGGGTCGCACACATCAAAATATTAAAAAAATTAACCGATTTTCATTTGTTTAATATTTATTGCCTTATTACGAATAAACAATATTTAAAAAAACAGTTTGCCCGTTCGAATAATTTGCAGAAAAATTTGTTTAGGGAAGTAATAGCAAAACAATGCGGAAATAAGTAGATCCTATGTATTATGTGAGGGAGGAATAAATTGTTTTTCCTTGGTTGATTACAATATCACATTTAACATAATAGATCAAAATATTTGTACAAATTGCTTCGCTAGGGCCTATTTTTAAAAGCTGACTAGAAAGGTAATATTCAAAATCATTGAATTACAAAATCTAAATTATTAAAAAATATAAAATGTACGAAAAAAAAATTAAGAAATAATGAAGTACATATCAGCTAGGATAATAAGGGCAGTTGAATAGTAAATGTAGTATCTTTAAGAGGAAGAAATTAATGGACTGTGTCTTTGTTAATTATTATCCGATTTTTACGATTTTTTTTTGTTTTGTAGATAATTTAGTAATATTTCTAATTATCATGGGTACAATAAAAAAATGCATAAGTTTTGAGTTATTCGCAAATAAAGTTTTTTTTTCTTCATAACTTTTTTTCATTAAATTTCGGGAGAATGTGAGTATTTTTTCCACCTGAAAGAGAAGAATATCTTCAAGTTGAGGACTCAATCATTGGATTTGATAAAGGATTGACGAAGTTATGGTGTTGTGACAAAAAATACCTTTTAGAAATAATATATAAGATAAATAATATTTCATATATGTTTAGCATAGTGTTGCCCAAAATCGGTCTTTGCACTTTGCAAGACCAAGACTAAGGCTACCTAACTGCTGCAAGACCAAGAACAGGACTAGTAAAAAAAAAATGGAATTTTTTGAATAAAAATTAAGGCAAAATAGTTACTAATACTTGACAATCTTAGTTACTATATGTTAACAATTGGTATAACCAATATACTTTTGCATTTGACTCCTCTAATTTTTCATTCGGGCTTAGTTAGGTTTCTCCTATCTAAAAAAATACAGTAATATCTCTATAGTAATAAGCTAATAAGTAACTGCAAGACTGTTGCGAGAGTCTTACGCAAGACCGAGACCACGACCAAGAATGAGTTTGCAAGACCAAGACTCGTCTCGGTCTCGCTTTTGGGCAACACTAGTTTAGCATTATGATTTTCTTCATAACAGGTTGTTAACAAGTTGCAAGTGTGATGTCATACTGTCAACAGTCATTTAATTTACGGCTCTTTCATTTTATAGAATAGAAGGGGATTAATACTTAGATTTTTTTTAAAGATTCATATTATAAGGACTATTAGAAAATGTTCCTCCTCTAAACAATAGAGTATATATGCGACCTGTTAGAGCTCCCACTCATTTCGCTTGGTTAGAATTAGATTTGATTTACAGCAGTGCAAGTAAATTAAAGCGTTTAAAACCAGATAGATCCAGTAATAACCGAATATTAATTATAAAAGTATAGTTTAAGCATATTATTGCCAGTTGTGATATATAAGCATTATTTGAGAAGAAATCTGCTAGACATCCACCTCAGGTATCTGGAAGCCTGAGGCACTCACTGCTAAGCCGTTAGCAAATCCCAGACCTAACCTATACAAACTTCTCCAACACCATCAATAGATTTATTTTATTGCTTAAATCTTAAACTGAATAGGCTTAAACTGGCCCATCTTCGTAGCCTTTCAGAATAGCAGGGGAATTTCTTCAAACTGCTCAAAAGAATTATAGAATTACTAGCTGACCCGTGAGAATACTTCGCACAAACCTTATATTTGTATCAGATTTCAATACATTAAGGGCTCAGCATGAGTTCCTTGTAATAATATTTCTAAGAAAAGGTTTAATACTTCTATTTAGTAAGTTATCAGTTTATAAATATTATGATCTATACCCATCCATAGTTTAGCCATTTCTAGTTTCATTAAATTTATAATTATAATATTATA